ATGGTAGACAAATCATACTTTTAAAATTTTGCAAAATGACTTTGCCAATTGTAAATTTGGCTCTCAAAGGTATCAGATTTCCATTTCTGATGTGAAGTCATCAAATGTAAAAAAAGAAAATATTAATCTATTCCTCTGACGAACCTAGCAGAATCTTTTTGCAGAAAACTAGATAATTTTAAGGTATTTATGATACATTCAAGTCATTCTAGAGTACATAACATAGATAAATATGTTGATACTATTGTTTCAAATAGAAATGTATAGCCCATGGTATTCTAGCTATTTCCTTAAATTTATTTGAGTAGAAAAATATTTATCTTTCAAGGAGCAATTAACAACAGCAATACTAATGTTTTTAAATGAAAGATATATACGGTCATGATGATGGTATTAATAGTTTAAATTTTCCATTTGCATTTAGTCCTCAATATACAAAACAATGACATTCTTAAAATTCTTCTTTCTCAATTAAGTAAAGCTGTAAATAAATGAATACATGATATTTCCAAGACAGAGAAAAGCACAAGGTTGCAGTGAACAAAATTATTGTTCAAGTATTCTCATCTTCATATAAAGTCTTACACTCAGACAACTAGACAAAGTTCAACAGTAAAGTCATGTTGGTTTTGTTCTCAATTACATTTTATTGTTTTATAATTAAGAAGCACTCACACATAAATTAGAATTAGGTCAGGTATAAGTTTTTAATATAATTCAGTCCATTGAATTTAAATTTGGAAAATCGAAATGACAAAATGAATTATGAATATACTAAATTTCTAGTAATAAAAAACACATTGTGATTATAGTTTGGTTATGTAGAATAGAAGTCTTCCTTTTTAATATAATAATGATCAGTTGTTAATTAATCTATAAATATTTAAAATATATTAATTGTAAAAATTCCTATATATGCACAGTATATATTTTGCTTATGCATGTTCCCCTTGAGTTATTGAAAATATTTTAAATGCTTGGTCATGTATTTATTTTCCAGCATTTTTATTTAAACCCAGGTCTATTTTTCTGTTTCAATTTCCAATTATAGATCTTAGTTTTCTTTCCTTTGGTAAATCCTATACTGCACTATCTATGATTTTTAGTTTTTGATTGCTTCATGAATGTCTTTAAATACCAATCCAGTGCAAAAAAATCTACCAACAGAATTATTTTTCTTACTTTTTCTGATTTTTGTAATAGCTTTATCTACATTGAAACGTACATACTTTCACAGTGACTAAATTTTTTTCTCTCTAAAGTATTTAAATTGAAGACGGTCAAATAGAACAATCCCTCACACTCCATTTATATCCATTTCAACTAATTTATATGACATTTAATTAAGTCATTTTCTTTTATATAAGCCCAAATGTTGTGAACTTGTTTGGGAACAAACATAGCTGACTCCAGGCTAGCACCTAAACCACTGATGGAGGGTAAGGAGTATAGCTTAGTGGTAAATTCATTTCCTATCATGTAGAAGCCCTAGAGTTCAGTCTTCATCATCAGTCAATCAGTTAATCAATCAGTCAGTTCGATGAGAGTTAAAACACAGACTTATTTGTTATATATATTTCTTAGAGTGTAGAAATGTTTTCTCTGTATCATCTAAAGCGATAGCCACTAGTCATATATCACTGTTGAGCAGTTGAAATGTATCTAGTACAACTGAAGGAAGAAATTTTACATTTCAGCTAACTAAAATTTAAACAAGTGGAAATGACTGATAACTAATATAGTGGACTTTATATTTCTCAAAAGTAGTTTACTTTCATGTAGAACAATGGTACATCTGTTGAATATCAGATTTGCAAAGTGCTAGAAGGTTAACAGTTTTTCCTCCAAAGTCCAAGTAAGATTTTGGGAAAGAATGGCTTAGGAAACTCAAACTGATTTAGAGTGAATATTTACCTTATTTTGTATTGTTATTTTTTATCTGTGTATAGGTTTACTTTGATGGAATTGAAAGACTATTTAAATCTTTAAAATATCAAGGTAAAACAGTAGACACTACACAGATTTGTGTTATTTTAAGTTCCATGTAAACCCAATTAGAAAGTAATGACAATGCTTCTAACACAGAATACACCAAAAAAATAGTTCTTACTTTGCGATTTTAAATTTGTTAGTTCCCTGGGATCTTTCAGCTAGTCAAGCACTGCAAATGATCCATTCAGCTTTGTAATAAAACGTCAATGTCTTCTGATTTTCATAGAAGTCCATAATTTCCTGAAATTTAGGAAGGATTACATGAAGCTCCTATTTAATATCTTTTTCAGGTTTCAGAAGTTAATTCAGCAGTCAATTCTGGTAGAATGAAAGCCTTTTTTTTTTTTTTACAAATACTATAAATCTATCATTTAGTTATCCATCCACATATATTTCAAGTTATATAATTTTATGTCATTAAATATGTAAACATCTTTAATATTGCAGGATGTATAGTTTATATGTAATTTATATTAGTAAGCTTAATCTATGAAAAACTGTTGAGGTAAATAGAGTAAACCCTCAGCAAGGACTCAGTAAAATTTCAGTGGCTATAAACCATTATCATTAATTTTGAACACTTAGATGTAAACTGTAAAATGCACAAATCATGAAAATATAGATTGAGCCATCTCTTAGTTTATGAGTACTTTGCTTTCATACTTTTGAATAACTGAGTTGATTGGAGTGGTACATTATGAATGTAGCTTTAGGAATCCTAAAAAGACAGTCACTAGTTCTGTCTTCAAAAAATGGATTAACCTCACCGGAAAAAAAAATTAGAAAATGAGACTTTTAAAATTTATTAAAAATATTTATGTTTTTAGGTATTGTGTGTGTGTGTGTGTGTGTGTGTGTGTGATCAAATTCAAGTGTGCTCTGTCACAGAGCTACAAACTCAGCTCTTTTTTTGTTTTTTATTTTGAGACAAAAGCTCACTAAATTGCCCAGGTTGACTTTAAATTTTCTATCTTCCTGTATTTGTCTCCTGAGTACTTGGGATTAATACAATGGCCACCATATTCAACTTCTGTTTGACTTCATTATTTTTGTTTAATAACTACCAATTTCAAATACATCAACTCCTGTAATGGTATTAGTTGTCTTGTAAAAATGAGAAAACCAGGTCAGTATGGTGGCATGCACCTGCAGTCCTAGCATTCTGAGGGAATGAAGCGGGATGATACCAAGTTTAACTCCAGTGTAGACTGTGTCTCAAAATAAAAAAAACATCTAGATATGTAACAGTGCAAAAGCCCTTGGCTCAATCCGCATACACATGCACATGCACACACAAAGTGAGAAACCATCATGATCAGGAATATATAGTTAGAAAGAGATAAACATAGAGATATATAGATACACTGTACATGCCCTCAAGCATATCAATAGTACCTCTTAGAAGTGAAGTAGATGTGTCTTACACCATGCATTTTATTTCAACTACTTTGTCATGGTGCCTCTGGGTGACAGAGGCTCAGCAACTTGAAGGATATAAGTGCTTACAAAATTTGAAAGTAAGATTTATTCTACTTCCTTTAGGATGAAAGTGTACCTTTGCAGGTTCCGCTGACACCTGTTGCATAGTTTCTAAAGACTATTTCTAGATCAAGGTTTCAATTTAAAATCAATACAAGCAAAGTTCAATGAACTCTTTTCTGTGTCTGCTTCTTCAGATATATAGAATGGCACAAAGTTACTAAAACTATCACAAAACAACAAATATATTTTCTTCTAACTCAGTATGTATCAGTTTAGTGCAGTAAAAATGGATAAAGAGAAATCCTGGGAAATATCTCTTAGTCATCTGAGTTATTAATTCTGTTTCTAAAGTCCAGAGTATTTGGAAATGGGAGTACTGCAAACCTGTCCTCCAAGAGGAGATATTCGAGATCCACTGACAGCATCTGGGAAGCATCTAACAGTTTCTCTCACATCACTAGGATTCAGAAAGCTCGCTTTTTCTTCCTCCCTTAATGCTATTAGCTTGAGTCTTTGCTCATTGCTTCCTTCTTCATCTCACACTGTCCTCAAGCTGTAAGCACAATAAATGACTATTTACTATCTTCAGTGATACCAGGATTGAACACCAGCCGAGGAGTGATCTCAAATTTCTAACAAGTATGAATCAACCCAGTCTAAAGAGATGACCTTTTCCTCAGTACTCAGTCATGTTCATTTGAAATTATAACATTAGTATTATAAGAAATTTTTGAGAGTTAAAAGGAATATATATATATATATATATATATATATATATATATATAATGTAATATATTGTTAATTTATTAAAAGCACCAAATACCCACTGCTGCAGAAGTTATACAGACAGAGCCCAAACAGGAAACTTAGGAAGAGGGCTGATTTTCCTGAAACCTTCTCTCTGTCTTCTAAAGAGTATGACATGACTGCCTGTATTTGCTCTTTTGAATAGATCACATTTCATATATCCCTTTTGTCAGGCTATGGGAGATAATGAAACTCTCATTTTTTCCTTCTAAAATTGTAGTCCCTCTTCATGTCTCTGAAGTTAATTCTTTTCCCTGTTGTATCATGATTATTTTGAGCACATGAGCAATCTTCTCACCGCTGTGTGTATGCAAATACAGTGAAATAATAAATCGCTAGCGTCTGAGTTTTACTATCTCTAAATCAGGGCTAATAATCCTTTCCTGTTAAACTTTCTCATACTACTGAGAAAACAAAATTACAAAATGTAGGGAGTAAAACAGACGGCGTCAGCATTAAGCCATTTAAAATTTCCTACCAGAAATTTTATAAGGTTCTTCCAAGGAAAGGGAAGTGGCAAGGCAGTGTCTCTGAATCTCTGTACTTCTCTTTGCCTTTGAGACAAAAGCTCACTAAATTGCCTCGTCTCTTCTAGCTCCTTATCTCTCCCATTCCTACTCTATTTCTCTCTCCCTCCTCTTCCTCTCCATACTTTGCTTATAGATCTTGCTTATTTTTATATTGCTTCATTTTGTAAGTGTGTGTTTTCATGTCTGCAGGTGAATTCCTTTGTCTGATCTGGTCAAGTGCTAATACTAAGAACATCATATAGAATTTACTAAATAAATGAATTATTTATCGGATTAATTTTCCAGTTACTGACAGCAGCTTCAGAAATGTAGATTTTAGTTCACATGAAGCTAAAGTTGACTACACTGTAAGTAACATTTGATTAAACTTGACAAGTACAGTTATCATCATGGTTTTGTTACCAGGTGGTAGCATGCTGAGGTTTCCTCTTGGAGATTCTTTCCAGATTCTTCTCAGGTTAATGGTTACTATCTTTTATTTCTCCTATTGTAATATCAGATCTAGACCTTCCTAACAAATCTCACATGACCTTGTGCCAGAATAATTGAAGGTAGGTACCATTTTTTCAGTGATATGAGCGTCAGTATTTGGAAGCTGTTATGAGAATGTGTCCTGAATCTTTGTGATTGATGGATTTCACCCTTTTGCCCAGCAGTTTGCCATACTCTACTCTCCTAGCTCAGTTTGGTGATACCATAGGAAACTAAATCAGTCTTGTATGTTTTTCCCAACTTTTTTCAGGGATTTAACCCATGCTACAAAACCCATACTCTACCACTAAACTGCATCCCCCCCTTTTTAAAATTCACTTTAAAAGAAGATCTCATTGAGCTTTTGAGGTTGGCCCTAAACTCATAGTCCTCTTGCATTTGCCTCCTGAGTAGAGGGATTACAGGTATGTATCAGCCTGTCATTCATGCCAGTGTCTAAATGCTAAGCATGCTTGACAATCTAGATTGCATTAATTTCTCACGGAAAAATAAATGTCTATGTTTCACATTTAATTCTATTTTTTGATCTGTTAAAACTTTAATCAGTTTGTCATGCTAGTCCAGTGAAAACATTCAATAATTTTATTGTAACCAATTTTTACTTCAAATAGTGAACAGAAGATTTTTGGAGCAATTTCAAAAGTTTGTGAGATTTTAAACATGGGCTTTTTTTTTCCTTCACGCTGGATTGAATACTACGTTAAGTCTTAGATATCTCAAATAGGATAATTTCTAAGAAGAAATAAACTTGGTGGCATAGTACAAAAGATTGAGCATCTCTTACCATAAGATAAATCTTTTGCACACAACATGCTATTTCTGTTGGCCTTAGACATAAGTGACTATTTTACATGACACCTTGAGACTTGTAGCATTGACTTGTCATTGAGCTCTTGCAGTGTATGTAACACATTATTATGTGACACTCTCCCTTTTACGCAGATCATTATCTTCCTTTCTGACCATCCCAACTGTTACTCTTGTATTTTTCTGATTTGCTCAGATCTTCCCAAAGCTGAGCTCCACAGCTGGTTCTTTTCTCCTCACCCATGAGCCCCTAGTCCTCTACTATTCTTGCAGACTTGAGCAGAAACTCTCCGACCTGGAAGCTCTCAGAGTGTCATCCATCAAGGCACACAAGGCACACAAACACTCATCCATGTATTCACACACAATAAATCTTTCCATTTATTGAGATCATTCATTGTGTAAACTTGGCCCCGTTTCCTTTATTTTGTGTAGCAAGACTTAAATATTCAAAGAGATTGTTTTCAAAGTCACATAATCACAAGTTGAGGCTGAAATGTAGAGTTTGCCATTAAATCAATCTTTTCAAAGACTTTTTTCCTCTATAAGATGGGATCTTTATGATCACAGTATGGTATTTTTGTGACAGGAATTACAATTTTAGATACCTGGTCGACCTGCTTTTATTACAACTACTGCCATTTTGACTAAAGTGAAGAGAGTGTATGAGACAGTTTGTTAAGATCTTACTTTGGTTGGGGGCTGGGGATTTAGCTCAGCGGTATAAGCACTGCCTTGGAAGCAGGCAGTCGTGAGTTCAATCCCGGGTACCAAAAAAAAAAAAAAGATCTCACGTTGGTTGAGGTTGTTTAAGAGCTCCATTTCCCTGAGAAATTTACCTTCCAAGTCTTGTATATTCAGTCATGAGTCACTTAATAATGAGGATACACTAGGAAATATTGGGCAACTTCATTGTTGTGTGAACACAAGAGGCACTTAAACAAAGAGGGGAAGGCCCAGTATGCACCTACGCTGTGTGGCAGAGGATCATCCTATATATAAACCATAGGTGATGCACGAGTGAATTTTCTGTGATTTTGTGATTCTATCAACTTCCTATTTTAGAATGTGGACCATTAATTAGTATTTACCTATAACTTAGCATTTTCAATCAGTCAACACATGAATAAATGTAATTTTCTAATGTTATTATTTTCTAGCTGTTTAATGACACAACTGAGAGTATTATAAATATTAGATTTTTTCTGTGGGCACATTAAAGTAAAACAGAATATTTTAAGAAGATCATAGTTATTTCCCTTATATGTACAATACATATTTTTACTTAGATGCACAGCATTTCATTTTGACTTTTGTTTAAGACTGACTTTCTTGGGTGAGGGATACAGCTGAGTGGCACAAGTGCCTGCCAGGCAAATGCAAGGCCCTGAGTCCTCATTAAAAAAAAAAGACAGATTTACTTTCACTTTCTTATGCTCATTCTCTTATCTACTAAAACAGTACTATAATATGCTCCAAATAACTTAAACCCAAAGGATTTGTAATCTACCCATGAAGTTTAAATCTGTCTACAAACCTTAAGAAAATTTACAGCCTACTGCCAAGTAACAGCAGCAGCTTTTCTCAGGCTTCCACCCCATTTCCATTTCCTAGCCCCATATCTTTCCACCTGTACGATACCCTGTATTTTTTTCAGTGAAGGTCAATGTCCAAGGCAATCTCATGACAGAAGGCACTGAGGTTTTGGGGTGGATAGCCAGCACACACCGTAGTAGTTTTTCACTTCATAGCCGGAGAAGACTATGTCTGGAGAGACTATGTCTGAACTCCTCTTGATGTACTGCACTAACATAATCATACATAGACTTCCTTTATAAATGCATGAAATTCAAGAATTAGATTATGTTATAAATTACCTTAGTAGACACATAAATCAGTGGAAGCTTTTAAACTAGGATAACATAAACAAAAAAATCTTTGCTTGTTTTATTTCCTCCAACTAAAGAGTGCTTTGATTACTTTTGTTCTTGAAAAAGTTATATTCAGGTTTTAATATCTACTCTATCTTTACATTAAGATATAATTAATAAGGTTAAATTTGTGTACTTGGACTTTTATATTTTGGTATTTCTTAATTTACTTTGTATTGTTTTTGTTTCTGTCTCACTTGTAAAGGATAGATCATAAGTAATAGAGCAAAGGAAACTTGCACAGTCATTCACTACAGTGTCCTTTATTTAACAACAAATAAAACTGAGCTTCAAATGCATTGAGAACACATATTTTAGTCAGATGATTCGTACAGTGTCTGCCTCTTTAACAGTCTAACTGTTTGAAAAAGAGGAAACAGTCTCATTGATTTAGGACACACAATGACGACATAGTATAGCCCCACAGTGATGTTTATTCTGAAATAAATAAATGCCTTGAACTATTTCATGTCAAACTTCTGAATTCTAGATTGGTGTTCTTTGTATAATATGTTCTTTTCATTCAAATTTCATTTTATTCTATGTATTTATTGATCAAAAATACCCCTTGAAATTTTAACTTCTAACATTGGCCTATGAAAAACTGATATCTAAAAGGTATATGAACTCTTGTGGTTTTATAATTGCAACTGCCTATCCTTGGAGCTCTAATGATATATACTCCTAGAGGAAAACCAAGGGAAAATTGCAAATGAAGTGTCATCTGCTCCTAGTGAAACAGATTGAGACAAGCCATCATCTACCCCAGATATCAAATCTTGTGGTCCTTTCTTTTGTCTAACAACTGCTCATTTAAACGTTTAGCTTCATAGTTTTGCCTAGCTGTGTTGATCTTGGCAGTATCTAGGATACTTTTCTAGTTATTACTTTAATCATAGTATAATATATTTGAGAAATGAAGGAAGTTTTTTTTTTTATTTCCCTGCTGCAGAGGAGATCAACACATATTCAGCATGTTTCAGAGTCAGATTGTAAGAGTATAAATCACTTGTAATGGTCTTCAAAGAGTTCTCTAACTTTGCTATATTTCATTTGAAAAGCACTGCCAACCTTAAAGCTCTTGAATAGAGTGAATGAAATAATAAATACAATAGAACATAACTTTACTCAAACTTGTATGAGTGCTCCATAAACATTAACTTCTAGCTCTTATTATTGCTAATTGATTTTTGAAAATTGATAACTTTATTCAATGTGACATGATCTTTCACATGTTTATCTTTATGTAAACAGAAACAAATTCCCTTTAAAACAAGAAATAAAATCAGAATTAATTTGTTTATATTAGATGATTTTAGTTGATTGCATTTTCAACAAAAGTATTGTTGTAGACTTAACCATGTTAAAAACTGAGCGTATCCTCCCTGGCATTCTTAGCACATGTTGACAGTACAAATAGCAGTGTATCTGTATGTTGATGCTTGTTTGAAATTCATCCTGGTAGGATGATGTGTTAATAATTAAAAGTAGAAGTTTCCTGTGAGCATTGAATAAAGTTTGACCAGACACAGGTTAATTTTGTCTGTCTGTAATGTGTTCAAAAGTTCAAGACTGCTTTCTGATTTATTTTGTCAGATCAATTATTAAACTCATAATTGCTAAATACTTCCATTTTTCTGCTAAAGCATTTAGGACACTACAAGGTAGAGAATCAGTAAAGCTTTGCAGTGATATACTTTCTCAAGGCCCACCCTTTCCATCTGAAGAGGTATTTGCCACAAGACATTGGAAAGCATTCTTTTCTCTCAGTTGTTATTAAAAAATAAATCTGCCCCTATGAATTTATCTTGCTCATTTCATTTATTGCCATTATTTTGACCATTTGATTTTCCAAATGCAATTTCTAAAAACATGATATTATGGTCCATTACCAACCACTAATGGAGAATTTCATGACTAAATTTTGCACCAAAAATGATTCTATGCAATGTGAAGATAGATTTACACAATAAAGAATGGTAATATTTAAATGACCACATAATTTTAGTAGAAGACTGGCTTATCTGTGACCTAAATCTTCAAATTCCAGTAAGTGGAGAATTATCTTCAGGTTCAGATGAGTGTTTTTTGCATTTAAGAGGTATAAGGGAAACCAGTTCAACAATAAAATCTTTATCATTATGAAATCTGGAACTGAAAAAATGATTTGTGTAATAAATATATGGTTCAAAATCTGATACTCATCTTGCAAGGTAATTAGCAGTTCTGCTCTTTGAGGAAACAGAAAGGCAATCGATTTCTCTTCTAGATGCTCTTTTCATAGAGATAGTAGGTGCCATTCTCCCGCCTCCTTTTTTCTCTTTTTGAGACTGAATTTCCCTATGGAGTAAAGTTGACTGGCCTTGAACTCACTTTGTAGCGTAGGCTGCCCTTGAACTCACAATGATCCTCTTACTCAGCCTCACAAATGCTGAGATTACAGGCATGTGCTACCACACCCAATAGTAGGTGCAATTCTTGATGGATCAAATTGTACAAAATGAATGTTTGACTTAGAGTAGCAATATTATGGGATCATTACATGTCTCATTTATTTCCCTCAATCCATGTAGTGATTATAGAAACAAATTTCAAAGAACTAAGTTTCTAGAAAAATATCTAGGGACCTCATAGTAGCATCATAATTATTTCTACTTTTCAACACTGAATATCTGAATTACTTTAAGATTTTTAAATTTTCTTTCTCTATTGATACTGCTATAGTCTATTTCCAACAGTGAGATCTAGGGACAGTTATGCAGTAATGATTCAGCAATAGAATGTATGTGATATTCATAGTTCAAACAGTACACAAGGAAATTGAGTTTTTATCTAGAATTTAAGCCCTGAAAAGGAAAATGATAGATTATAGGTTTTCAATTTTTAAATAAATATTAACTTCTAAATATGTATTTTATAACTAACTTCTACTGAAAACTCTTTCTCATGCTGTCTACATGCTGTTTAAAGTAAAAATGGTAAGATAAAGAAAACAATTATTAATAAAATAGAGGTTAAGTGACCTACCTGAGTTGCAGTGCTAGATCATGGCTTTACCAAGAATTAAACATGGATTTTCTGGCTTGACTACATTGTTTTACTACTTCAAAGATGGTAATCTTTTAAAGCATCTGATCTCAGGGGTGGTCCCACCTCTTTATTTGTCAGCAAAAGATATATTATACTATGATGATGTTGGAAACATGCAAAATATAAATGCTAATATGACATACAATATGTAATAGTTAACCATGAATAGCAATATAATGTGACAAATACTCATTAAACTAAGTCTTTCAGTATATATATTCCTAGAAAAAAATATTCTCTTTAATAATAAGAAGCCATTAATACTTGGAATTAAGGAGAGGTGAAACCACTGACTAGTAAAATATTGTTAGATTTTTGAAACTAATTTAACAATATGCAGTATATTCAGGAGGATTCAATTTTTTTGACCATCATGTAGATAGAATTCTGCTACTACTTTGGAAGAGCATATGCCCAACAAAAGATGAATATATGTGGTTACTGAAGTAAGGTGATATTTGGGAAGGTAGATGCAAATAGAAAATGTCTTAAAAGATTACAGAAAAAATATATCAAATTAGAAAATTTTGTGAACAACATTTAGAAATAAGTGAACTATAGAAGAGAACAAAAATATTGCTGCACCATCTTAGGCACAAGTCTAAGATATAAGAAGTTTAAAGAGCTTGCCTCATAAAACTACAACTATCCTTATGTATACTCTCCTAAAACCCACATATTCTGTTTGATCCAGCTCTTTTCTTCAGGGCTTCTAATGTTCAACTCCATGACCTGAAATAATAATTATCTCAACATACAACAGGTGTTAGGAGGTAGCAGATTCCCCTAGTCCTTCCTAGGCTTCCGGAGTCTTCAGTAAGAAGTCTCCAATGTTCTCCTTAGCATCAGCACGTCTCCAACCATTGTCTTAAACATGATTAGCAGATATATTTACCTAGCATCATTTCTCATAAATTCTCAGATTTGTGAGGACATAAATTATCTGGTTTCATGCTTCATATATAGCAAGTAATCAGCATTGACTGAAGAGATACAAAAGTTAACCAGACCCTATGTATTTCTTTATAATTTATGCACACAAACTCATTCTAAGCTTTTTACAAGTTTTTATTTTACCCCTGTGACAGCTATGAGCTAAACCTCTGGCAAGTTAAGAGATCATAGCCTATAAATGGTAGCATGTGAACATCAAGTTTTCCTCGCTCATTCTTTCCTTCAGAGAATTCATACTGAGCATATTCTACATGTCTGACATTATTCCTGAGCTAAGAATCCAAAGATAACTAGGTGAAGATCTTCTGAAGCTCTCTGCTTACTCAGAGTAGACCATGAACAGTAATTATAATACAAAGCTGTCAACTCTTTGACAGAACAATGAACATGATGCTACGAAGTTTCTAAAAAACATTAAATGACTGTGCGTATTAAATGGCTCCATTTTATTTTCATACTCTTTTAATACCTTTTTCTGTCTGATTGTTTAGAATATAACCACTCTCATTCATTCAGAAAAAAGTAGGCAAAGACCAATGCAAATTAATGAGTTTAAATTTTGTAATATTGTTTCTAATCTAGTTTGTTATCATTATTATTCATAATATAGATTAATTGGGATACCAAGTAAAGTGTATAAAGAGCCTAATCTACAATAGTGTGTAACAGCTTGCTTAAAATATCATTATTACTGTCATTTGTAGAAGTTTGAAATACAAAGAAATTTCTTAATAGGGACTTTATTATAGGCACATCAAAGGAAGATGGCAGCAGGAACGAGGGTAGGAGTGGAGCATGGTCTGAAAGTGGTTTAGTGTGAGTCAGGAAATTGCAAGGCTGTTCTAGAAAGCAGCTGTGTGCCTGAGTTTTGAGTAGATGTTCATCTGCTGTTTAAAAAGTGTTTTAAGAAAAATCGGCTGATGATGAATAGATTTATTTTACTTGTCATGGTTTTTCAGTTATTCTTTAGGGAAAAGAAAATAGCCATAAAGCTCTGACATTTAATAATGGCAATTAAGAATATTTCACTGAGTGAATAAAAAATAAATAAGTCCCAATATCAACATGAGTATTTGCATTTCTCAATAATCACCAAGCTATTTAAAGTGAGAGCCCTGAAAAGCTCATGGAGAGTAAGCCATGGACATACCTGGTAATAATCTATCTTCTTAAAAGAAGGGACCTTGCTTACTTTGTTTATTTTTAAAATTTTATTATTTTGCACTATTTATTTTATTTTAATTGGTACATATCACTTGTATGTATTTATGAAGTGCAATGTATGTGTCTGTCTCTGTATAGCTATCTAGAGAGAGGTAATCAACTTTGGTAATTAGCATGTTAGTCACCTTAAACATCCATCTTGTCTTTTAAGTTGAGTGAGTACATTCAAAACCCTGTATAGTACATTATTAACCACATTCACTCTGCTGTGTCATAGAACAATAGAACTTAGCTTTCTATTCAACTGTAGCATTGTACCCGTGCCCAACCCCTTTCAACCACCCCTCTTCCTACTCTCTTCACTTCTTACAGCCACTATACTGTTTTCAGCTTCCAGGAAGTCATCTTTTTCATACTCCACGTATGAATGAGATCATGTAGTGTATGTCTTTCCATGCATGACTTATTTTACTTAACTTAAGGTCCTTATGGTACAACTGTGTTATCGAAAATGACAATATTTCATTCTTTAAAGGGAGCTTTCCTTAGTAAATAATAGTTTTTCCTGCTAAGCACAGTGACTTCCGCATATCTGTCAGGCTTCAATCATTAGGAAAAGACACATCCGAGACTTCATTCTTTAGATTAAAAGTAAGCAAGCCAGCCTTTGAAAATATTTAAGATAAATAGAGATAAAACTGTTTTAAAAGTGCAGTTCAGAAAATTAAATGCAGCCAGTGTCACTGGTTAGCAGGTAGAGCCTTTCTCCTAGTGAAGCAACCAACTCAATGAAAATGGGTAGAGAAGCCTTGAAGGCTTCCATCAGCCCTTCAGGCAGCTGAGGAATGCACATTCAAGGCATTCCAGGCACACCTCCCTCTCCCCCGCTGGTGCTGGGAACTGCTCAGCCCAGTGGCTGTCCACCTTGGGGTGCACTGTGAAAAAAATTACTTATGGAAGACAAACAAAGATGCTTTTCTTGATTTGTCACATTGTTTCACACTGATTTTTTTCTCTGCTACTAGGCGAAAGTCAAAACTCAATGATGAAAAGGAAAAGAATCTAAAGAGTTCTGATAAAGATGGAAGAAGAGGCAGTAGGAATAGACACTGTGGCCCACACAGAAAAACTTCTGAGTTTACTAGATAATTTTTCCTTCTGGTCACTTGATAATTTTAGTTACATTCCACCTGGCCAATCCCAATTGCCTACTCAGGTTTTTCCTTAATAGTGCAGAAGGTGATTTAACTAGGCAGACAAAAACTACCCCAACTGTGGCTTACAAATGTAAATGGAATCAGTAGACAAAAAATTTTGACTTTACATATGATCCTAAACCAACCATTTGTTGCATATAATTCAAGTGCACACTTGATAATTAGCAGCAGTAAGTCTGAAATTGGACTAATTGCCCCATGTCACTATTATTAATCTGTAGGTCTCTACAGAGTCTTCAGTGACTGGAATTTCACATGTACAGAAGCAGCTTACTCCCAAATCCTTTACTTTCTATCAAGTTGTAACCTATTTTAAAATTTGAAATGACTCCCAGGTAACTAAACTTTCTACTGTCAGAGGCAGAACAATTGCAGTGAAGCGTAGGAATAACCTGTATTTATTAAGTTGTCACTAATTCATGCTTTTAAAACAGTCCTTTTGGGGGCTGGGGATTTAGCTCAGCAGGGTAAGTACCTGCCTTGCAAGCAGGTGGTCCTGAGTTCCATCCCCCATACAGATAAAAAATGAAAAAGACAAAACAAAACAAAACAAAACAAAACAAAACAAAAAAAAAAAACCCAGCCCTTTTGTTTTTGTACCTATGCTATGAATATTTAAATAAAATATCGAAGACTTCATCAGTGCCTATTATATAATTTTATTTGAAGGTGCTAGTTTTTGAGTCCAAATTTAGGCTTTCTATTCCAATTCATTCTTCATATAAGATACTATTTATAAGACAGATTAATATTATGGGACTAAAAACTAGAAGTAAGCTACTAAATAGTTGTTTTTTAAAGCTATTTTGCTAATCAGCAAATGGATATCCCTGGATATTATCTAGGGGGGAATGTTTTCCTAATCCAAAAGCTACATATTGTTTTGTTTATATATTTCGTGTATTTCAAACTCTTGACATTTGTGATTTTGTTATTCTCAGGATAAATAAATTTACTAAAATGTCTTGTCTTTATTAATCATCTGCAGAAGATATATTCAAATACAGCGAAACTTCCAAAAAGAGTTGATATACTTCTGTCAATCATGGAAGAGCATAAGAGAGCAAAATGTGCAAAATGCTGATTAACATTGTGGTATTGAAACCAAGGTGCTTATTATTTTTTCTCCAACATGCTACAAACAAGGCAGTACTGCTTCCTAGCATTCACAAAGTCCTTTATTCATTTTTACCACATTGTCTACCTTTCTGTATTGGAAAGTACAGAAATTGAGGATTTTTAAAAAACAAACAGAAGAGATAAATAGAAAGACAAATAGAATTATAAATGTACTTAATAATTCTAAATATACAAATTAATCTTCAGAATACTTGCTGCAAGTTCAAAATTAAAAAGAAGATACAAAGTTTTGAATAGCAATAAATATACTAAACTAAAACTAAAAAATGCCTCAGAAAAGTATATAAATATTAACTGAATTGGATCCTTCACTGTCAGACTTGTCTATGGTCCAATATTTTGCAGTCTAAACTCATAAAATAGGTATTTGTCCCAGCAAATAGAAAGCTTTGTCTTTAATTTGATTATAAATCCTACTTCTGCCTTATGAGCCAGGTTCCTGACCTCACAAATGTTGAGGAGTGCAGTTTTGGATTAAAAGGAGGAAGGTAAGAGAGTTTTCTGGTTTTTTTTGGTGGCTTTTTTGGAATAAAGAAGAAGTCCTGGATTTCCAAGGGGTCTTGAAAGATGGCCTCATGACCTTTGATCTGGAGCTACTGATGAGTAAGAAGAGGAAAGAGCTGTTGTCTAGTGCCTGCCCGGCACAGGTAGCTGTGTGGATTTAAAATGAGGGCTGGAATGCAGCATCTCAAACTCGGTTCTTTAATATGAAGTGTTTAAAGAAAAATTTAGAGGGAAAAAAACACATTCTTTTTTATTTTAGTTTCCTCAAACCTCAGGAACTTAGTAAGGAGGGACTGAAACTTACTTTTGGGAGGGAGAGGGTTATGTCGCATTCCAGGCTGCCTGAGAGGGTTCTTGGTTGGCCCAAAGTGCTGGTTCACTCTCTATTCTTACTTTCCTTCTTATCAATTTGTCTGATCACCCAGCCCCATCTATGGCCCTTCCCCAGGCTCGCAACCTTACTCATAAAGTAAACTATTTTGTACATTACTTGATCATTGCTATTTATTCTTAATCAAGTCACATTTTTACTTAAACTGTTTATATAAAGAATTCAGATAAATGCTTGTCTAGGAGTTTGTTTTCCTTTTCAGGGTCTTTTTGTCCTAGTTGCATACTTTGAGCTTACTTTCAACTTCATGATACTGTTTTTTTCACTTGCCAGAAAGCAGGTTTGTTGATTCTCTTTTTCATAAGGAAAGCTTTAGAGAGTAAATCATAGTTTTTAAATTTGAAATATATCCATCATACCCAGTTCTGTTCTTTAATAACTGACTAATTTTTAAAAATAACACTATATTTAAGAAATGGGAAATTATGGACTTTAAGAGTCAATTAAAACTTTATAAAACTTAGCAGCTTTGATTTTCTATAATTTAAACCAGATTTTACATACCCTAAAAAAATAAAGCTTAACTTTGAATTTATGTAGTTAATAAAAGGCCTTATGCTTTTCAATCTTTTCAACTCTTTAGAATTTAAAGGATTCGCTGGGACACTACCTAAACTGTATTTGTTGTTCTCATATTCTCAGTGGCTAACATCACCAATGCAGTGTACAGAAACCACAGTCCCTTCCTTAAAATGTTTAAGTACAGTGTCTTCAACATTACATACCAAAGTTTTTTCCTTGTAGGGAAACTTTTCCTTATACAATTACATGGATCTCTTGTCCTCATATCTGACTTAGATGAATTTCTCTGCTGATTTTCTTGCCTACCTTGATAAAGGAAGGCTTCAGGTATTGTATCACACATAGAAAAAGCTCAGTTTTTTTGCAGTCTTTTCTTTGAATTGTTGAACCATGTGTGTACATGCAAGGTAACATTTTGTGATAAAATCTTTATATATGAAATCTGTATTTCAATATTTTAAAGAGGCGTCTAATCTATTTGACAATATATTGTCAACACCCAGCGTTTTAACACGTAGGCTCAATTAAGTGCATGAATCCAGTATAGTATTGGAAGAAACGTAATTAAAAGTGTTTAGAAATTGTTTTGAAGAATGCATTGCTGCAAGGTGGCACAGCCGTGTAAACATGACACCATCATCTTATGGAATGTACAAAAAAGGGGCATCTCTTGTGCCAAATAAACATTCTTCAATTAACGCTTCACAATATGTAGTGTGAACTTTTCTAGTCTGTGTTTATCCATCCTGAGGCTGCTACTTTTAATGCCTCGAAAACTGTTGCCTGTGTATATTCTCCTGCTAAACCTCGAGGTAAAGATCTGATTACAGACCCATCTTCCCCTGGAATCTGGCTAATAAGCTTAACTCAAACTAAATGAATATGAGAAAGACACAAGAAGGAATGTCTTGCATTGAAATAAATTCTACTTTTATGAATATAAATGTTAGTGAGGGCTGCAACAATATACGGGCATAATACATTGTGTTCAAATATGTAATATGTATTTATTTGGCCCATATATGGAAAGTTTTCTCTTCACTATCTATTAAGTCATAGTTATTTCCTTTGAGTCAGTTATTTTACTTTATTCTGAGATTTGAATAGGCACTTTAATGTGCTTTATCTATAGTCAGGAAAATGATCAGTTTTCAGGCTAAAATACACTGTATTATCTTCTGTCTCTCTGTCTCTGTCTCTGTCTCTCTCTGTCTCTGTCTCTCTCTCTGTCTCTCTGTCTCTCTGTCTCTCTCTGTCTCTCTCTCTGTCTCTCTCTCTCTCTCTCTCTCTCTCTCTCTCTCTTATTTTAAAGAGGGTAAGATTAAACAGAACAAAACAGATCATACGGAAACAATTTTAAGAAACAAGGATTTCCAAGCAAGACCACTGGAGATCTTCACTGTCTATCATATTGTCTGTTGTTTTCTTCCAAATAGTTGTCCACATCTCCACACACAGTGAATACATACTGAACATTATAGTGCTAAACGAATCAGAAAGGATGATGAAGGCTTTTTAGGCCTTCAAGACCAGGCATTAGGGAAGTCAACAATGGTTGCCGTAATGTCTCTCGTTCTCTTCCAAGTATAGCTGTCCATATCTTTACGTATGCTAAAATTAAACATAAGAGACTAAACTAATATCACTCTGAACAGTGAATAATAGTATTGCTAGGTTTTATATCATAACGCTACAGAATTAGCACTGGTTATCTTAGTGTCTCTTCTTCTTCAGAGTATCTATTCATTACATCGTGCATTATATAAACTGTTCCTGTAAATTGTTTAGAAATTCTACACATGTGTGAATCTCTACATGTATGCCTATCCTTTCTGTATTGAATTAGCCTCTCTGTCCCCTGTGCTGGTGAAAATATACTGCTGTTTGATAAACTGTTTTGTCCACACAATTCCTTTTTTTTTTTTTTTTTGCCTTTTTGAGTCAGGATCTCTCTATGCAGTTGAGGCTGGCTGTGGGCTCACTTTGTAGGCTGGTCTTAAAATTGCAATGATCTTCCTGCTTCAGCCTCTCAAATGCTGGGATTACAGAAGTGTGCCACCATGCTCAGCTGTGTCCACATAATTCTTAACTGTTTTAAAATAATACATGTTTAACATTTAATGAAGCCCTCTTATTCAAAAACTATATAGTACATTAATATTGAATAGTTCTGACCAGCCATATTTAAATAATTAGCATGTGTAATTTTTTAAAAATGTTCAACTACAAATAACTATAATGGTTGTATTCTTTACATTGGTTACATGTTCATATATTCACAAGAAAAATTAAATGGTTATCTTTGAATTGGCTTAAATGGTTTTGTCCTCCTTTCCAAGAATATTCATACCCTTTGTAACAGCCCAAATTCCTATCACATCACCAGTTTATAGACCCCAAATACCAGCTAATTATGTGGGTAGAAGGACATTGTAATCTACATTTTATAAATGAATCTATTGTATGTATGCTTAGGACTTGAATTTTCCTTCCTTTGCTCATTTTAATTCACTTATTAGAAACTTAGAATGTTGATGAGAGAGTCTTCAATTGTCAATTTTGTTTAGTTCTACTGACACTATTCTAATTAAACACAATTTCACCCCCTCTCTGCTTCTTTTTATGTTGTGGTGTCTGATACAGTTTCATAACTGAAAGTATAAAAATGTGCTTGATAGATAATAAATTAATTAGCTTACATCAAACGATGACTTGTACACTTTGGTTGAGTACACAGGTTGTACCTACACAGTCGGTGTGACCAGTGTGATCCCTTTCCAACTCTGAGTGGCTTATCTTCCTCTTGATGAATGTTTTACTATTTTTATCACTGGCAACATTTCCTGTCTGTTCTTTATTTTCACTGTGGAGAAGACAGACAGCCTAATAGGATTAACTCCATCATGTGTCCTTTCCACAGATGCGTATATTGCCTAAGCCATCCATGAATTATTCCATTCTTCAATAAATATTTTAATAACAATAGGTTCTTTACTAATAATTTTTCTAAAGATAAATTATTATTGATTTCACATAAGACACATAGTCATAGTGTTCTTATTGTGTATATTCTTAATCTATAAGTGATGTTCTTTGATAATCAGACCTCATGATTTAAAATTTTTCTTCCATAACCAGAAACATAGTGATTGTGACCTAAACTTTCAACTTCTTACTATTGTAAAACTCAGTTTTCTGCTTAGTTCTTTCTAATTAAGATTTTTGTCCTTTAGAGACCTTTTACAGTTTCTGTTGAGAATTTAAAGGTTTCCTTTGCTTTAAAAAGTGTAATGAATTTTTCATGCATAAAGAGGAAGTAGTAGAGGTACATCATTATTTTAAAACAAGGCTTACTACATTGTTAATTCCTGTAATAAATGTAAACAATACATAATAACACAACACTTGCTTCATATCTGAACTTCAACTGAAGACAACTGTGTAAATTAGTGACGTGTAATTCATAAAGTCTTCTGAATACTTGCCGAAGTCTCAAAGAAAAAAGAAACAGTCACAAATTACTGGGTCTGGTATATGAACCATCTAGATGTTGGATCAAAGATCAATGAGAATTATGGGAACAGAAGTTAGAAGCATAAGGAACATATGGATATGCGAGCTTACTCACCTGGTCAAATGTGGTAGGATTTCTGTTATCTATGACTACGTCAAGTAGCTGAGGATGCAGACCAGAGGCATGATTTTCATATTATTGCAGTATACCTGCTCCATGCATGAAGGTATCTCTTCATCTAAATCGAAGAGGCTGTGAGCTGCTGGAACAGAAGAGTTAAAGTGGTAAAATACATGTTTGAAATGTGTGTGTAAATTCTGAAGTTCTTAGGAATACTATCTTTTAAAATTATTATTATATTCCACCGTTATTTCTTCTCCAAAACAGACCATCCTATGATATTATTTCACACCTCGATATTTTTAAAAAATAATAGCTAATACTTTGTACTTAATCTCTAAGAAAACTTAAAGGGTTTCTTTAAATTACTAACTTCAGTTTTTGTTAAGGCAAATCTTTACGAGTAAAGGAACACAAAATTCTAAACATATTTGAGATATATAAAAACTCTAGAGCACTTGTTTTGTAAAATTTGTAGTTACAGCTTAACTATTTATCCTGAAAATTAAAGAGGTCAGTTATTACTTCTCTGTTGAGAAGTTCATGTGATGCTTTTCAGATAAAATTTTTGTGAAAAGAATTTTGTCTATAAAGACTGAATGAGCAAGCGTGACTTTGTTTTGTTGCTGCTGTTTCTTTGTTATTATAATCTATATTTCTAATTAATGCAATACTCAGAAAATTTGCCTTCTCTGTAAGAACTGCCTTACTGAAATACTTTCATTTCTATACAATATCTATTTGATATTGTCACATATGTCACTTATCTATTTGAAATGCTTCTTTTAGTTACAAAAAGTCATTTAGGAGCTGCCTAGAATATTGGTAAAATCTTTCCAAATACCCTGAAAGTTTCCTCAAAGGAGATAAAAGGTAGTCAGAAATATAAATATCCTGTAAATCCATATTACTTATTGGGTAAATTTTGAATAATGCATGAAGCACAAAAGAAGGGTTAAGAAGTTCCTCAATGTATAGGGGCCTATCATCTCATTTTACTGTTGTAAAGTTTGATCCTGGTATTTTGGTAAATTGCAGTCATAGTCAAGTTCCCTTAAAAATGCCTAAAATTATTTGAGAATATGCAGAAAGGACCTGCCTTGAGGAAGAAATCCCTCACTGATACTACTTGCAGGACAGAAACACCACACGCCTGAAAGAATTCAGCTAAAAGACATAAACATTCCACTTGCCCAACTTGTTCACTTACCTCTTTCCCGTTAGCTGATGTGTTCCTTAGTGTCTATGTATAAATGGTTATTTAAAACAGGTTATAAGGTCATCTTTTCAAAGAACAAAAATATCTTTCTTATTTCTCACTGGATTTTTAAAATCTAAAACTTTTTTGGAAAATGTATCTTAAGATGGCATTATCATAGTTTGAGAATTTTATTTATCTGATTTTTTTAACTCAAAATAAAAGCACTCTCAGATCTTGAAAATTCTACTAGTTGTATCTCATTAGAAGCAATGTTTGTTAATCAATAAAAGAAATGCAGATGGTATCCTTTACTCTTTGGTCTGCCTCACGTCTTCAAAAATCAACATTTCTTTCACAGAGTTCAAAGTGTATAAAACCAACTTTCAGGTTATACAAATGAATTGACATTCTTTCTCTTTGACAAAATTTACTCTAAAAATAACAGGCAAAATAATCTCAACTCAGTCTCTTACATGGAAATATTATTTTTATTTTCATTGTCTCTAAAGTTACAAAAGTGACATTCCATTTGATTTTTATTTGTTTATTTAGGTTCTGGCAATTGAACTCACAACCTTGCACTTGCCAGGCAAGCACTGATGCCACTGAGCTATATCCCCAACCCTGGACATTCCATTTTAATGTACCTTAATGCTTTTCAACTGAGGAAACTGAAAAATTGCATTGCTCATGTCCTTTCTGTACTTGGACAAAGTGAACATAAGAATGACAAAATTGGGGCTGGGGATTTAGCTCAGCGGCATAAGCGCCTGCCTTGCAAGCAGGCAGTCGTGAGTTTGATCCCTGGTACCGAAAAAGACAAAAAAAAAAAAAAAAAAAAAAAAAAAAAAGAATGACAAAATTAGAGCTCAGAGTTTCTAAGTTTCAGTGATTTCTATTATCTGCTTCTTTTCTACATTAAATTCTCAATTTAGACCTCTGAAAAACATGTTTTATGATATAGTTGTTTCTTTCCTAAATTTGAAATGCTTTTTTTCAAAGAGCTAAAAACCTGTTAAAAATGTGAATGTCATAGAAATGCTAATAGAAGCCTACAGATTGATAAATTTTACTTCAGCAAAACCCACTTATAGTGTAAACTTTGATGTTCTACCCATTGACCTTTATCCTCTGGATTAGCTGTAAGAATGAATTGCTAAATATTCACTTTTTCAGGTGAATTAAGATGACCTCATGGGAAAAAATGGAATATTTTTTGGTGTGTCCTTTATTGATGTATCATTATCTAGTGTTTTCAGTCAGAGATCTCCTAGATAAAGAAAGACTAAAGTTCCACTGAATTTTCAAATGTACACAGTGTAGTAGATCAGAAATAGACAAAAAAAATGAGTAATGAATCAATGGAATGAAACTAAAAAGTAAAAACCTGAATAATAAAATCAAATTAGATATTACGGTTCTATCTCTGATGCATTGTAAAATTCACATAAAAATGGAAAAGTCTCTAGGCCAACAATAATTTAATAGAGCCAGAGATATCTGACTACTTTAAATCATTATAATCTTCCCTCTTCAGTAATGGATACAATGGCAGAATAATATTCATGAAAATAAGTAGTCAATTTAATGTTTAAATAATAGCTAAAATATGGAAATCCCAGAGATGTTCAACAATGGGAAATGGCTAAACAAATTATGGTTCTCCCCCAAGATGCAAATTCATGCAGCTACCTCAAATATTCGTCAGACAAATGGTAGCATACAATAAAGAATTTGGGGGAACAGTCACACTTGTATGCCAGTCCTCTGTCCTTCCAAAGTTTTTCAAGCACAATTGGACTTCTGGAATCTCTTAGCCCTCTTACAGGTTCTGTGTGGATCCTCCATGAAGGGAGACAGACTGTGTGTGCTGTCTCATAGTTAGGGGCAAGTGCAGGAGAATTCTCTTAGGAAGGTAAATTTATTTTGAAATGTAACCTGACAAAACAGATTTAAAAAATGAACTTTGAAATTATCTAGGCCACAGTTAAAGGTATCACTTGGACCACATTACTAACTTCCTTGAAGGTCAGATTTGTCAGTAATTTCCAAATAATTATACTGCTTACCCAACAGGATTCTTGTGATGTAAAAATGGCACTGTATATACTAACAGTGAGCTATACTGGGGAAAAGTATTAACTAAATGGTAATTGTTAAGTATTAACTAAATGGTAAGTGTTCTTGTGAATCATAACACTACTCTAAAATGGTCATTCAAAAAATATTCCAGTTGTTAATTTTAGTCCAAACTATCATTTTCCACTGCCACACTAAACACCCTGTATAACTGAGTCCCACATCAATGCTTGGTCATTATTGGTAGTAGCAATCCTTGCAAAGAACATCCTTTTTCTAACTTTAGTCTGGTCATTTTCCACAGTGCAAATCCCCACTTTGGAGACTCTTCCTACTCAGCCTGAAAACTAGGTGTCTCTTTTCTCTCCTCTAGTTTCCAGTTGAAGAGTTTTCATATCATTCAAACCTCTATTCAAGTGAAGGTCTTGCCATAAGCCTTTCATAAAGCACTCAGCATGTGTTGGATTTTTCCCATGTTCTCATAGCATTTAGTATTTCATAGAATTCTCACTTACACTTTCCTTGAATCCATAATTTTATCTTGTGTGACTCATTACATATTAAACTTGTCCAGGACAGAGGTCATTTATACCATCATTTTAGTAATTTTTTAACAACCTGACCTCTTATACACAGTGAATCCATTTAAAATATATGTCGTGTTAAATTCAAAAATGATTAAAAGCTCTAGATATAACCTCACAACTCTGACAGGTCTGAGACATTTGAAGGGCTCAACAGTGATTTTTCTAATTTTTACCTTTTGGATTTTAATTTACATGAGATTAATTTTTAAAACAATTTAATTTTTAAAACACAAGTAGATTCATTGAAAATCTCTTTATTCCCATTTTTAATTAATTGTTTTGATAGAAGACTTACAGGTATAACTGTATAATTTTCTACTAGCTCGTATACAGAGTCTAGTATATAATTTACAAGTTTTATCTATACATTTCTATAATATTTTAGGAAGCTTTTGCTGCTTTAAGAGAAGAAAAGATAAACACATTGATTGACATAGCATGTTTGGAAGGTTTTTATATCCTCTGGAAAGAAAGTAGACTCAAGAGATTTCAGACGTATTTCATTACTCTTTCTATCTTTGGAAAGGAAGACATTTTGGTTCTTCAAAACTGATTAGCTACAAGAGTTGCTAGATTTAGGAAAGGAAGAGGTCCAAATTTGGTCATAATGTAACTTTTATCTGATCTTGGAAGTTTTTAATTTTAGCTTAATTGAAATAATTTTTAATACCATGGCTTATAACTTCACAAGTTGGTGTCTAAAATCTAATATCAAAAAAGCTTCTTGTGTAGATTCCTGATTTCTTCATAACTTTAAAATATACAGTCACTTTCCTGCAGGAACATTATCAGTGACTGAGAAGACCATATACTGTACAGTTTTATAGTTTAAGTGTATACATACAATTGTTCCAAAAGGAATTTCTATCCAAATTAATGGTCTTTATTCCTTGACTAAATTCTGCTCCAAAGAAGTCTAAAAATGAATAATAGTATCCACAATTCAACACTCAAAATGTCTAACTATAGTCTTAATGTTTTAAATATCCTATTTTCTTTGACTTCATATTTCGTATTGAATGACTGTCACCAACAAGCATCTTAACAGAGGAGTGATTTGATTTACCAGAATATGGCAAAGAAAACCTACACAGTTTTAAAACTATCAAGGTCAAAAGACTTCTAATAAGTCTCTATCCCTGCTCATAAAATAGTGAACTTAAACATTTTTTTTTTTTTTACCGGTACCAGGGATCGAGCTCAAGACCACCTGCTCACAAGGCAGGTGTTTATGCCACTGAGCTAAATCCCCAGCCCCTGTGAACTTAAAATTTAATGAAAAAGCCTGTAGTATTATGTGAGTAACATAAGTTCCAGTTCTTTTATCCAAAAAAAATGTTGTGTTACCTTTTTTTAAGTAGAAAAAAGACAAATTTATTTATGAGTAATCTTACCTTGAATACATAGTTTGATTTAGAAGAGTTGGATAATAATATGTGGTAAAATTTTTGTTTTGTTTTACACTATGTTGCTTCTCCAACACCACATTCCAGTATTTTTCTTTTGTTCATTATTATACAACAAACCTGGTCATTTCAAACTTCACTGGACACATATATTTTATTGCTATTTTACTTTGTCCAGATTGCAAACCAATTTTAAGTATGTACAATTCTATTACATCAGAAGCTATGCACCACTATAAGCAAAATAAGATGTAAAAAAAGAATGTAAATAAATGCTAACTTAATTATTATTCAACAATTGTTAACATTAAAAGCATTTACTAAATAACAATCAAAACAGTTATTTAGACTATTTAATGATGTTACTTTCAAACATATTTTTCAATTTTACATTTTTCTAATACCTAGCCCCAAGAAATTACAAAAGCTCATATATAATATGACTAATAAAAGACTTGGAATATTAATCAAATCTAATATTTCTCTAGTGTTAGTTTATGTTAATATAATAATTAAAGTAAAATGTCCTAACACATAGACATGGAATACTTTCTAAGTGTAGACCATTTTCTTTAGCCTATCAGTGGTGAAACATAGTTATAATTTGTAGAAAAATAAAAGTTGGCACACATTTTTAATGTTGATTAAACTTTTGAAGATTGCACTATGGCAATTTTCTATAAAGTATTCATAATTTGTGTTCTATGGATTACATATTACAAGCTTATTTTATGACTCAAAAATAAACTTGATAATACTAGGTTTAAATTAATTACTAGCTTTGACAATTTGTTTGCTGGGCATATTACATGATATCATTAATTGGGAAAATACATAAGACATTGTTTTCTTATAAGAATCACCCAACCTTTTACTTTCTGTCAGCTGAAATCATCATAGAAAGTCATTTTTTGTTTTAATTTTCCATGAATAAGTATTTGTGGAATAGGCTCTCTCTGTTTTTTTTAATTGTACCACATAAAAATTCTTGAATAATTTTTTTACAAATATATTCATTTATACAAATGTGTATATATATGTAAATATATCATACTACAGATGTTTTATCAAAATATGTATTTGACTGAACATATGGACATCTGAAGATCATTAGATTGTGGAATACATGTAAGTGAAAATAAAACTTTAATAAGTAACATTGAAAATTCAACCTGTGAACTTAGTTATAAATGATAATACTGCAGAAGGGAATAGTATGTGGGTATTGTATAATTTTAGCTCCATTTGAAAACAATGACACATTTATCTGATTGCTTGATTTTAAAGTGACATACTCATAAAATATAAGTTGTATCCATTCACAAATTGTGCAATAGTACTCTTTTCTCTACCTATCAAAATATTAGCTAGGTGATTTTTCTCTGGTTTGCTTATTGATATACTAAAAAATAGAATTTAAAAAAATATTGTTTATCTCCAAACTGATGAAATTTTGAGGAGTGAATGGGTTATGGGAGTTAACATTTTGGAAGTAATAGCAGAAGTACACGTGAAGTGAACTTTTTATATTTTTGCTAAAATAACCATCATGCTACAGATGCTCAAAAAAAATTCATGTATTGTCCTCTAGGTAACGATGTGCAGTTAATGATCAGTGGTGAACACAAATGTAGATCTTCTACCTTTTGACTAAGTATAGTTTTCCATTATCCTCATATCCCTAAAGATAATCCTCACCACATTGAGAACTTCATTATTTATCAAATAACATTTCTCTAACTTTTTTAGACCATAGTTCAGCAACACATACACACAGTGAGAGACACATGAAAATCCAGCAAATGTTTAACAAGTGAATGAACTTTGACACCTCTAAGTGGATTTAATTCCTACTGAGCAAGTGTTACTGTGTGGTACAGTACTTTCTCACTATGCATTGCTTTTCAGTCACAGATCTAGTTCTGATTGTGTAATAGAAGTGGTCACACATTTGAATAGGATGGTTAAATAATGGCTGTAATTTACTTCCTTATACATTGATTTAACTACAAAAAAGAAAAATATAGAATTACAATTTGTTCATATATTTTTAAATACAATAAAAACATGCTTAAGAAGTTTCCCAGAAGTATTTACTTTTTCAACATGATTTTTTTCTTTTTCTTTTTTTCCTTTTGGGGCTTGAATTCAGGACCTACCTGATGTGTATTAGGCAGGTATGCTATTTCTCAGTTACATCCCTAGACCCCAAGATGCAAATTTCCTTGATAGTGTTTATGGAAGAAAAGGCACATTTATTTGAATCAAAATAACATTCATAAACTAACCAGCGAGGATATATTCTCTTCTCTGGGAATGAATTTGCTTTAATTTTATACAAGTTTTATGGCATGCTCTTTATGTAAGATAGAACTTGACAGAAAGACTACCTTAGTCATATGTCCTGTGTGCAGTGTGCAGTTAGATGCTTGTAAAGTAGAGTAAAAGTCATTTCGAGCTTTGACTTTCTCTTCTTGTGCCTGAATAACCTCCCTGAAACCTCCCTGAAAGGCTACATGTGGAACATTTCTGCTGTGCATTTGTGTTACCCAAGACTCCAGCTCCTTGAGGGATTTGCCTCCTTAGTTTAATGGAGGTATTCCAGTGGTAGTTTCTTGCAGAGAATATTTCTCATTCATTTTATACAAACAGAGGATTATATTCAGTAAACATCATTAAATCTGAGAAATGAATAGGTACATTTCTAGTACCATACCTGGTTTTGTTACAGGTTCTTAAGGCTGTTGTTTCTGCATGTAATGTAGCACTGTAATATAACTGTCTTTAAATAGCAACAACAACTGGCAAAAAGTCTGGAAGAAACCTAAGCAAGCTGTTTGAAAAAATGGGCGTATAAATGCTTAATTCAATTAGTGACTCATAAGGACTATATCAACCAGGATGGAATAGCCTTTATAAGCATTAATTTCATGACATGAACAGTTTGTAGAAGTGAATGTAGAGATTGTAGATCCTCAGGCAAATCCTCACTGTGGGTTGAATTTATTTAAAGAGCTTTTCTGGTCACCTTTGAACCTCAATGATTTCTCCAGATGTACAGAAGTGAACAATGTAAAAATCTTGCTGTTTCAGCAGAACTGATTCCAGCTGGCTGGAACGGGATCTGCAAGTCATTGGTTACAGCTGTGTTTCGATTTATGTGATGGTTGAAAAAATAAATTACCCGATTAGATGGCTAGAAAGAGGACTCTTTGTTTAGCCCTTGTGTGGGGACAGAAACTGTTTATGGTGCTGTTTTCTACACAGTCTTTGCAAAGTAAGCTGGACAAATAGACTTATTCAAGGCTTCTAAGAAATGTTGCATATTCAGCTTTAATTCTTTACTAAAGAAACTATTTTTTTAAAAAATGCTGTCATGCACCAACTGTTTTGAAGGTCTAACATGTAAGAGAAGCAGTACGTTTTCTGTCCCACTGAACACTACATCGACTAATTCAAGAGCAGTTTTCTTTTGTTTAATGTGTCCTTTAAAACACGTCTTTGTCAAGCACAGGAATGAGAATATGTTTGGTCTAAAATTCAAACTTTATAAGAGCAAACTATCTGGGCATAAATTCTACCTTAACTTTTTTCCTTAATGGATTATGGCTCATGTCCTGTAAGAGAAATCAATTCATGTAAGACTTAATTATGATCAAGCATTACTGTAAAAAAAGTGTCATACTTTTAGTCACTTATGATATGGGTATATTGAATTTGTGAATATTGTGAGGATTTTTTTAATCTATGTAAATTTTATAGAGTGTAGAAGAGTTTGAAAACATATGTAACTTTTCAAGTTCACCAAAGTCAGAGTATCAATAACTCTTGTAAGCTTTACATAGCATCTTCCCAAGGAGACTACTTGATTATTGTAATGCTGAATTAGGGTGTTTTGCTTGCTTGTCTGTTTTTCTTATTTTTCTAATATAGCCTCTGTCAGGTCACCCAGTTTAGGTTACAAACCTATCAGAACCAGTGGATTATTCACAATTTAGCCATTTCCATGGAGATGTTACAAAAATGACCCTCTAAACGATTTTAATTTTCTGAAAATACTTCATTTTTTAACAAAAAATGCTTAGTAAAATTCTATAAAAGGAAAAGCTTCTTTAGTAAACTTGAGAATGATGTCAGACCCTTGACCATGTGTCATACTTTCCACTAAATCAGTACACCTCAATGTGGGGAATACTTTAATGCATGTCATATTTCCCAAGAAAATAGACTATTATTTATCTATTTCCATTTTTCTAATGCAATATGTGCACATTATATAATTTAGTGATGCAGAATAAATAATAATAATGCATCCAAAAGAATACAAAGGTAGGATTGATCTGTCTTGAATTGGCAGACAGCTTTGCTGCGTCAGGCTATTTCCTTGATCACTTGAAGTACACCCTCTAATCCTTAACAAAATCAATATAATTGATTGGAAGAGACAGGAGCAAAGCATGAGAATGCAGGATACACTTGAATCCTCACTGAACAGAAATATTTATATAATGGTTTTGATGCTTAGAAGCATTTTCTGTGATCCTCACAGAATTGCAGTTTGTTAAACACATTGGAAACTTGAGCAGTTCAGTTTGAAACTACAGTACTGTATGCTATTGTGTCATTCTTCATGAAATAATCTGTTTTCTAAAAATTAAACTCCTCTCACAGTGTTGTATTCCTAAAAGTGTAAAGTAAGAGTTTCTATGACAAGCAGAGAGAAAGCAAACTAAAATTCAAACTTGTAAAGAACATGCATGAATTATATTAATAATGAAAAATCAAGGAAAAATAACACATCATGAAGAGACAACATTTTTAAATTTAAAACACTTTACTCTGTCTTTGGTGCTTTATTCCTGTCTGGCATGATCAATAGATAGATAAAATCATTTGTATATAGTAAAAGTTCCACAAAATTAATATATTTTTTCATAATGAAGAAAATTCTAAAACTCTAGTTTAACACAGATGCTGTGCAATCAGAATAATTTACATTTCAAGTAAGTAGTATTTTAAACTGAGTGTTTTGAAAAGGAAAAAATTGAAAACATTTTATTTGATGAAGATATTTTAAGCTGTGATTCACCTGATTTCCTGATTTCTTTTTTATTTTTGGTATCCCTAAAAGTCATTTCAGGAGGCTTTATGAAATGCCTATCATGACATTTAAAAATGAATTATTAAAGTTAAAATATATCTAATTTATCAATAAATTCTGTGTTTTTAACCCACACAGGCAGTTACCCAAAGAAACACTGAGTGCATATATTGTATTAGTGTGCACACTTTTAAAAAAAATCTTAGAAAATTACTGCAGCCCTTGTTGTAAAATAAAACATTTTATATATTATTTTAAATAAATTAAATTTTCAATACAATAGGCTAATCCATATAAAAGATCTAATATAAAATTTTGGCACTGCCATATTTTGCAACTAATATGAGATAACACATTTTTGATACTCCTTTATTAGACCAACTATCAGACAGACGTCAGAAGAGTACTTATCAGTCCTTGCAGACATAAATGCTACTATAAAATATTGTGAAAATTAAATAAGACAATTAGATAACCATATATCTAAATAATAGTAGTCACCAACACCTGTTTTACTCGCCTTGTGCAGAATTTGAAGGCTAAATTACCTTTCATAACCTAGTCTTGTCTCCTGACTTTAAAGTTAAAAGGACTAAAGTTCTAAAATTTAAATGATTTACCCAAGATTGCAAACATTATTAATTGTACAGCTGGCACTACAACTGCTTTTCTAGAATCTTAGGTTAGTTTCCACCTGTTTCAAGGTGTTGTATATTCTACTACCGTACTTCTAGTGTACAGAGAATTGTACTTTTTGAGAGTTGGTTTGTTAAAACATTAATTGTTGTAGCTCTTGTGCTAAAAAGTTCCAACTATAAATACAACGGAAACTCTGAAGCCATTTAATATTATTTAATTCCTGGCCACTTATGTCCCATTTAAAAAACCCAGGATTCTGTCCTCTCTCAACTATTATCCTGTCAACACAGCAGGAATAATCATTCATTGTTTCTATGCATAATCCTATAAACTATTACAAATGCTCCGACATTTCAATATAATTTGATATGCCATAATTTTAATATGCCATATTCCATCTCGTTATCCTACTCTGTTTACTCCCTGAAAGAGAAATATCCCTCCCATCCTTAAGAGCTGTTTGTTTCTGTAAGTGGCTGTACTGCAAACTGCACATCACTTTCCCTTCAAGGCCAGCCTCAAATTCATGTTCTTGCTATGATTTCCTGTTTTAGACCTGCTTGCCTCCTAACCCATTTCTGTGGTGTGGTTTTGAATGTGGTCCCCTTGTGGATACTGATGACAGGTGGGGTTGGAAAGTGGATAGAACACTTCCGGGAGCACAGAAAGGGGAAGGGAAGGGAAAAAGGGAAAAGGGCGAGGAGGGCTGAAGAAAAAGGCTTGCTACAGCAAGTTACAGGAGCTCATTTTGCATTACTAAATATATGAAAGCACATTTGATTAAATACGAGATTATTCCTTGAAGGCAGAGAAATCTCTGCAAGTGCTTTTCTATGTTAGCTGTGTTTCTTTGCATTCATATATCAAAGCAGGCAGGAAAAAAATAATTTTCAGTTTGACAAGCCTTCAGTCATAAAGTGAGCTAAATACTGCGTCATCCTGGAGCCTAATAATAATATAATTCTAAAGGAAACAGTAGGTCAGGTTTTTCCTCCATTGTTTAAAAACTGACTGTATTCTTCATACATCTTAAAAGTAATAACTCACGTACTGTGTTTTACTTTAACTTTGCTCAAAATAATTAGTTCTGGAACTTGGTTTGTAACTCAATATTATCTTAATGAAGGTGTACATACACATACACATACACCTTCAGTTTATTATATTTTCCTCTTAGTATTTTACATCATAGAAAATTTCCAAGTAGATCATCTCAGTTCATTGGTATCTGATTATTTTAATTAATTTTTCCTTTCCCTTAAAAAACAAAAATGCTTGTGCTTGTTTCTCCTTCTTACTGTTTTTAATTTCTTATATGCGTGGGATTTGTTTAAAAGACTACTTCTCTGGATATTTTGCTGATGAAACTATGACTACATCTCTGCTTTATGTTTACAGTAGTAGGTAATATGTGTTGTTTGGCACTAGAAAGAGCATGGCTTTTATTTCTGGAAAGGTTAGACAAATATCTTAGATGTATTTGGAGACTTTCACCTGAGCAATTTTGATTCTTATTTTTTAAAAATCAATTATTTGAAAGTTAAATTCTGGGACCTGGGGATTTAGCTCAGCGGCATAAGCGCCTGCCTTGCAAGCAGGCAGTCGTGAGTTCGATCCTCAGTACCGATAAAAAGACAAAAAAAAAAAAAAAAAAAAAAGTTAAATTCTGTATAAACCTTCCCTTTTAAAGCTTATAGTAAAAGAAAACACTAGATGCTTTTCAGCCAAAAATGAAACAAAACAAAAAATCCTCTATTTTATCCCTTCAAATAAATCATTTTACATTAAAAGAGACTGGAAGAAAGTATTGGGATCACATGATCAGTTATGCTATAAAACTTTTCACAAGGGCAGTTTAAGTATCAGACAACTTTCTGCAAGGTTGGACATGTTTTATATCCAAATTATCCAAAATGGTAGTCACCAGTCGTATATGCTCCTATACATTTGATCTATGACCAGGGAGTGTAGGAAATTATTTTAACTTTCATTTTAATTGTTGAAATAGCTGACTGAAGATCACTGAAGAGTGCAAGTGAAGTAAAAGAGATATTATTCAAGTTATAATATATCCTATGTTTGCATGAATCTTGAGTCAAAATTTGAACTGCAGATTATTACTTGTCCTCCAGTCTCCTTGTTCTAAGCTTCCTCTATTAATTTATATTGGATACCCATAATCACATTGATTTCAAGAGGCTATGTAAGAACAAAAAGTTCTTCCCTGGAAATAAAAAGTAAGCAGGTTTTATTAAAGTGTTTTGGAGCAGTCATTGCTTCCTTTCAACTTCATATGTCATTTACATTCAGATCTATCTGAATTATTTTTAAAAAGTTAACCTAACAAATCTCAGACAAAAGTAGTAGATCTAGCAAGGCTATACATATATTGTATTATTTACATTAATGTCACCTAGAGTCAATATTTTACTTTGCAAAAATTTCCACGATAGTCAAAGTATAAACTCTTTTAGGGATGCATTCGTGTTAATGATTAGCAGTAGAGAATCAGAGAAAATCTTAAACTTAGGTCTTCAGAAGTGATAATTGAACTGATTGATCATAACATTTCTTTTTCAAATAAACACTGATTTGGTCAATTCTGTCTTCCTATTGGTCCTAACCGAGGTCCTGACAGAAACCTTGGTACTTGGGATTGGCTAATTCCTGTCTGGATATAAATGTTTTGCATGGATGGATATTTTGTTGTAACCATTATTTTTCTTTAAACTTACTTTCAGTTATTGTTTTTATGTTTTCTAAGGACCTAAGCTATGTGTGCTTCAATACAGCTCTAGGTACTAGAAAGAAATATCATTAATTGGGGGGAAAAAGAGTCTGTTGCCCTGATTCTCAGATTTGGGAGTGCAGTGTGCACAGTTGACAAAGCTGAGCTATCAATAGGCAGTTGCTGTAAATTCATGTTTAATTATTAAAATAGTCAACATTTTATGTCTGATAGTCATAGAAGGTCATAACATTAATTTAACCAGACTATTGCGGGCAACTTTCTAGAAGAAAATAGAATAAAAGTTACAGATGCAGAAGAGTTAAAAAATAAAATGAAATAAAAGATGAATCTCGCAGCAAGAGATTAAGGGATGATTGATATAACACACACAGGACAGAAAGAATTCAGGGGGCATCTCACTGTTACTGACAATGAATGTTTTATGCTATGCTGTGCATGTATTAATTTTTGTTTCCGTTTTTTGTTAACCTCTAAAGTTAAATATTCTTTATCTTCACTTTCTGAAATCAGGTTTCATATGTATTTAATTAAGTGTGTAATGATTCTTTTTTACTGTGTGTTCCTTTCTTCCTTTTTTCATTCTGCCTCTTCCTTTTTGCATTTCCGTGTTTCTTTTCTTCCATCCTCACTTATTCTTTTCCATCCAGCCTTTCTCTTTCTCATGAGATATGTATATGCACTTAACTCCATGTTTTCTTCCGGTGCTCATTCTTCTTCTGTTTTTCTTTTGCTTTTTGAGCTTGAGGTGTTTTGGTCCCATTTCTTTTTTCTTTTTCTTCAAATCAGAAGCCTGTGAGAGTTGATTTTAGATCTACATATTTTACTACAGATGCTCCTTTCTCTATGACTTGTGTGCTACTTTCTTTAAAACCCCTGCAAATGATTACCTTTCCCATTAGTTGCCACAGATCTATTGCCAGACTGCTACCTTAGATGGTCCTGCAGTGACGCACTGCATGCTGGGACCTGTCTGGGAGCAGTAAGCTGAAATATCTACAGCACCAGACAGCATTAGAGTTGGCTTCAGGATTGCGTACTTTGCTTTCCTTTGTATGTATTTCTTGTATGCTGCAGGGTCACTGGTGGCTAGTTCTGTCTGGCAAGTAATTCACAAATACTGCTCACGTGCAAAGGAAAAGTAGACAATATTCCATATTCTGTCATTATAGAGAGCAAAAGAGGAACAAAGAAACGGGTAAATATCTGCATACAGCCTCATGTGTTGTGAAACTAACACAAACAGAGCTGCATTCAGCCAAATATTTCACTTGTTTGTAATAATGCATTTAGCACAGAGTTTTTCTATATATGTAACCTATATTTTAGACATATATATTCAATCAACATTTATAGCTTGTAAATGTCTTGATCTCAGAGACTTTTGCATTTCATTTGCTATTTTTTAAAGACCTTAAAAATTAAAATATACTAATATCCTGCTAGTTGGTTTCATTCCAACAACCTAGTATTTCAACACAGTTTAAATCATATTGATGATTCATATCTTGGCCCATCTTATAATTCTTGTGACATGACAACACAGCTAATAAAAATATGAAGCAATTACTTTAGTTAAAATCATAGCTTTATTAGTAGTAGTAGAAATGATTAATCCATACAGATCAGCCTCACTGGTGTCTCTTGGGCTGTCTGCAGGCTTCCTATAGAAATGTAAAGATTCATTTGCTCTTTCTTCTGCCAAGGGAGGAAAAAAAAAAAAAAATGAAGGCGTAGAATAAAGTCTAGGGCTTAAAGAATTGTTGGCATTATTTCTCTGTCTATCACGTGTGAGTCTGGCTGCTTGCTTCCTCGGGTAGGGTATCCAGAACCAGACTGTGTCCGAGCCTGTTTTCACAACTGCATTTGGAGATCTGTCTTATTGATTAGCAGGGGGAAGGGGTGGGGAGAGGAGTGCGAGGGGAGGGGAGGACCGACTGAGGACGGGCTCACTGAAGCACGGGACATTTTCTTCTGGAAAGATGTCAAACAACTGAGAAACAGCCACAGAGGAAGTAGAAAAGTGGGAAAATGAGACCCGGGAAGAAAGGAAGGCGTTTCTTACAAAAGTCTTGAGGCTATGTTTGTTTTGTGTTTTTTGTGGGTTTTTTTTTTTTTCCTTTTCTCTCCTTATCCTTTTTTTTTTTTTTTTTTTTTTTTTTTTTTTTTTTTTTTTTCCCCATCATCTGACCTGCAAAGGCTAGAGGGGCAGCGTCATGCAAACGCTGCTGCAGTCCAGCAGGTCTGGGAGAGGGTGGATGCTAGACTGTGAGTTAATGTTAATGATGAGTGCGGTGAAAATACCAGCCGCTGCCACCCCCTGCACACAGAAGCGCTCTGAGTCAGCATCAGATGCTCTGCCTCGCCTCTGCCGAGTGTCTGGTGCCTGTGTGCGCGCGCGTGCTCGCTAGCATCCGTGTCTAGCCGAGGGGAGGGGTGGCGTGTGAGTGCGTGGAGGGTAAAAGCCAGTCAGTCAGTGAGAAGCAAAGGTACGTTGGAGAGCAACTAAAATCTGACTGATTTCCATCTTTGGAGCATCAGATGTATTCCCTAAGGAGGATGGGTCTCCGGGATGGGGGTGGTATAATTATGTTAATGTCATATTTATGGAGGGGTGAGATTTTTCATTCTAATAATTGGTTGAATGCTATGGTCAAAAATTGTAAAGCCATATTCAGTTTTAAGGAGAAGCATGGAATTATAGCTAAGGACTGTTTTATATTTTGGCTTTTTGTGAATGCTTTTTGCTTTTGTTTTTGTTTTATTATTTTTTAACTATTTATTTTAAGCCATGGCTTATTCAGTATGGAAAATCAAATGATAAACAGAAAGTGATCTTATATAATGATGCATTACATCATGGAGCCGAATATTTAAAGTCTTACAAGGCAAAGTAAAGATCTGGACAGGGGTTTGGGGGAATGGTTGGAAAGGGGTGTGGTAGTAGGGTGGAGGAGGGGGGCCAGTTAGCAAATATTTTGTTAGCAGAGCTTTCCTTGCAGCTTACTTGGAAATGGATGATTCACCTGTTCTTCAGGAAAACAGTCTAATTCTTTCCGGTTTTTTTTTTTTTTTTTTTTTTTTTTTTCCCTCCTCTTTTCCCTTTTAAGATCAACCACTTCAGAAGAAGCAGATTGCACTTCTATGTCCAGGACTTTTCTGTTATGGCTGGTCCGATTGTTTTACCCTGCGTTCTATGCTACTAAACCTTGGATCATTCCTAAAGTGCAAATTCTGTTCTTGAACCACAAAAAAAGCTAAAAGATCGGAGGAAATTCAGTGAATATACAGGAATGGGATTGTGTGTTTTCAAAAGTGCTGAGATTTATAATGCAATTATTCAAGAAGTAGAATCATTTTTTATGTTGTTGCCAGCATTTTAAGTTACATGTTTATTAAGTGGCATTGATCAAATAACTACAGATTATGCATGGACGTATTTGCTGTCTGAATAGTTTGGCGATTTAAAGAGAAAAATCAAGCTTCAGAGGTATTAAATTATGACATACAAAAAGTTTTTGTTTTATTCTTGAATGCAATGATATATATTTAAATCAGATTTAAAGTGTTATATGTCCTGGGCCCACCTTAAGAGTTGTGCTATATAGAAGTGTAATGGGAAGCAAAATTTCAATTAAGGCCCCATTAAGTGGCTTATAATCCTTTTTTAATGTAATAGAGGCTATGGTGTGGCTGAAGAAATCTGCTAGCAGCAGATTTTAACCCATTTTTGGTCTCTTTCTTCAGATCTAATGGAATAACTTAACTGTTCATTGTCTGCATTGTTTCTCATATTCTTCATTATTCTGAGGTCTGGGATTAACCTATAAATGATCATCATCATGATTATTTAGCTCATCCTCACTTTTATATATATCATATATTTCTACTTACGTATTTTGATTAGTGTTTAGAGGAAAAAAGCCTAACTGAACCCAACTGTGATTTCTAAGCTATCCTTATTACTGGAAGAAGAATTCTGCATCAAACCAGACTTTTCCTAGTCCCTGAGACCCTAACTTGTGAGGTATTTAGTAACATCACAAGTCAGGCTCTTGGGACCTAGGCGGAGGGGAACCAGCAGCTTTGGACCTTATTGATTGTCTACAATTACCATCAGAACAAAAGAACATACATAGATTCTTCCTAGGAGAAAAGAACCATGCTTTTCTTTATAATCAGTAGTCTTTTCACCATGACCCACCTCCCCAAATACTATTGTCAGAAACTATACTCGAAAGTGATTACACATTGGCACTGAATAGCATTTGTATTATAATATACTGATAATACAGAAGGAATGTATGATAGCTGAGTGAGAAGCAGAATTAAATACAAGTGTTTTCAAATGCTTCTTTTGGTGTATTTTAAGGTGATGAGTGAAGGAGAGTATCTCTTTAGTTAATGAAGAGAGTTGTTTATATTCATTACTTTTTCATATGCATAGAATTACATACATTAGCTACTAAAGAATCCTATATGTCTTCTCACAACTGTGACTCAGAATATGTATTCTACAGCTCTAATCTTGGTTGGGGCCTAGAAATAAAATGATTTACAATCTTCTTTATTGACCCTATTTGATTTTACAAGAATGCTGTTTTATATACGGTATTTATTGCTAGAGTTTTCTTCAATTTTTACTTAGACAAAACACTTCATGTGGATTAACAGTTACTTGTTAAAAGAGTCCAAGAATGAGAATATTCAGAAATTTGGGGGGATATGGTACTTTCAGATTTTATGTTTTCCTTTGTATATATCATGAATCTGTGTGGGTTAAAGCAGTAAGTACCACTTATGAAGTCAAACTGCCCTGGTTTACCTATCAACTGATTCTCCACTACACAGCTTTGATTTTAAAAGAATTTTAGTTTTATCAAAAGTAACTCTTCAAACCATGAGGAATGTGTAACATTTATTAGTCATTGCCATATCAGATATGTTTTTGTGGAGAAAGAATACATTAAACCTATTTAAATTTTATAATAATGTTACAAATATAAAGATTCAAATTGAGATGACAGTGTGGACAATAAAACAAAACAAAGTGACTTCATTCTTTTAACTCTACTGCTTTATGTGGGTACCATAAATTATTTTCTCCATTGTTAAAATAAATTCATGCATGAATTTTAGAATACTGTATGGAGTCTTTGTTCATTTTTTCCATGGATTTGTTACAGTTACTTACAATTTTAAGTATTGCAAAATACAAATTATCCTTAATTTCCTTTCCTAAAAAATTAATGTAATAAAATAAACCTGCTCCTCACTTATACAGGCATACATGTATGTATAAGCATGTATCTACAACATTTATGTTCATTATTTATTTCGACTACTTCGTTTATCTAAAAGATCTGAATTTTTGCATGTCTCTGTGTATAAACATGTTTTCAAACTCCAAATGAATGAAGATAATGTAAACAGAAAAGATTTTTAGTAGTGTTTACCTTCTGCTTCTTTTTATCACATTCATGTTGAAATTAAACATTTTTAAAACCATTTCTCAGTACAAAGAACTCCATGTATGTGTATATGCATACACACAGAAACATAATTATATTTAATAATGATGTTCATACAATGGAACAGAAACTACCTGTTTCACATACAGATATATGCTTACCAACATCTGTTAACATTACCATAAATATGTATGATGTTACATCAATTTTGTTTCAAAATAATGTAAGGGATAGAGGTTTGTTGGCCATAATGATATCAAATACAGGCTATTTTAAAGGCAAGGATTTCTATATTCTCACACTAATGAATCACACTATATAGCAACCATACTTCATAAAATAAATATCTATATATGTATACACCAAAGGTGAATTTAGAATGAGATGTTTCATCATTTCCCCCACAAATTATTTTTACTAATAATCTTTCACTGTTTGAACCTTCTCTATATGTTTCCTGTATGAACTGTCTTTATGAGCATAGCATCGATGAAGCTTTTCTCTTACACCATAGGTACAAGTGGGTGTATAAGCTACTTAATCTCTATGTGCCTTGAAGAATGCCACATTTTCTGCATTTTCATCTCAGTTATCAGAGGATAATATTGTTTGCAGGATTTATAATATGATTTGAAAAAATCAGATCACTCTAAGCCTAAAATTAAAGGAGAAATTTACAACAAAGAACAAGAAAATGATGTGTGTTGCATACGAAAAAAGCAGTGATATTAACAATTCGATGGCTTCTTGGTTGGAAGACCAGTCTGAGCCAGACGCATACATTAAGAACTGTCTGCTGCCGATATGAGCTTGCTCAACGCTGTGGAAATGAGGAATCACCTCTTCTTTGACACCAGTTTATTTGTACATTTTAATTTTGAAATAGCAAATCACTGTTTGTATAAATATGTTAACCCCTGCTTGATTCTTTTTTTCTGTCTCATATTGTTTGCTTACCTACTGTGAACTTGGAACTCCTTTTAAAAATGAAAATCATTACTCAAACATCTACCAAGGACTAAAAAGTATTAGTTTTTTTCTTTTGTCTCTTTTGTGTTACCTTGATAATACTGTAATTCTCAAGCTTTTAACTTTAGATCTCTGTAAAGGACACATGAGTTTTCTGAAGTGACATTTCTTAAAGCCTTTTAGGATGCATAAAGAAAGCCACTCTGGAATTTTGCCAAAGCTGTATATGATTGTATTTCTTTTAAGGGTTTATGGGATCAATATCATTCTCAGATTAGAAATCCTAAACACATCAGTATTCCAGTGAAGCTACAGAAGAGTTGTAGAGGTATATTTAAATCATTTAAACATTAGGCTACATTAATAATGTCTAGAACAGGAAAAAGTATCTCAGGGAAATTATAGTATAAATGAATTTGTTATGAAGTTTGAAAAGAATATTTACTTTAAACTGTTCTTCAAATGGCTACCTTGGTACACATGCCTATCTTGGCCTACTGTGTATTTAATATGTAAGATTTACAAGCTGTCATGTTTGGGTGAGTTTTGAGAAATGTAGTACATAAAGGGTTAGCTAATGCCCAAATTTTCTTACACACGTAGTTCAGCCTACATATCTGTAGGCAGCAAGTACCAGCATCATTTTGATTGCTTAGATTCTTTTGTTTAATTTCTTCCTAGACATTTAACTTAGCACTCAAGTCCCACTGATGCTTTAGTGACTGCATTTGGAAAAGGAAAACAAATTTCCTAATATAGAGAAGCTTTAAAAAAATCCTAGACATTTGTAAACATTTCAAAAATAGAGTTTTTAGTGTAGTTCTGCAAATACAAATTTAGTACACAGAAATTTAGTTGCTATTATGGTCTGTGTGCCATCCCATGTCTAGTTTTATTATCTGTCAACTACGGAATACACACTGGTTCATTCATAAATAGACAGACATCTTCATTTCTTAAAAAGATTTAGGTTAGCAAAAATGGTATAAAGTTGAAGCACCTTTATGAAACCATTTGTAGTGTTTCCTCAGTAAGCTTGCTTCAGTTTTTATTCAGTGTTACTATTTTCTGTAGCTTTCCATGTTAATTGTTGCTTTGTCAGAAAAAGTGCATTTATCAGCCAATATTAACTTGTATGTAAGGTTTCACTTGAGGAAATTTGAAAGCAAATGAAACAGGATGGTAATTGAGATTGATGAATTTTAAGATAGCATAGTTTCATTTTATATAAACAGTCTGTTAATTCCACTCATTTTATAGATTTTTAAAAGTAAAAAATTCTGCTAGATTGAGCTAAAATTTTTAGGGATCATATGTGTAATATCACTTGCTACCTTAATAAAATATCTCCTAAACAATACAAGTATAAAAATCATCATGGGCTACATCTATTTGTTCAAACAAGTAAGAATAGTAACTCCTGAGTTTTGTCTTGGGGCTGTTTTTAGTTCTTTTATGTAGGCAGATTTAATCATTCTTCTTTTCTAAGAGATTTCTTCCTTTTTGTTGGTAGGTGTCTGGAGGAATTCTGAGTATCAAGTGAATGTTCTGTGGAATCATCTTTCCTTGCCTTTGAATTAGCTTTCCCTAGGCAATGAGTCAACATCAATATTTTATTTCTTCAAATTGGTAGGTCTTTCTTGAAATCCTTCTATGCATTATTGTAGAAATTTATGTAAAACACTGTATAAGAAATAACAATTACGTTGTGCTTGTTTTCTGAGCTTCTGAATATTTTCAATGGGAGATTGGGATGGTGTTGAAATAATAGCTAATGATATATTTGCTTTTGCAGAGTTTTAAAATATGTTATCTTTCTCATGGCATACTTCCCAATCTTATAGGAGTAGAGGGACCAGTATTTGGATGTTATTAGTCAGCTATACTTCCCACTAAAATCCTGGTCTGGGCATTCGTAAACCTTAGGGAAGTTTCTACATTAGACAATATTTTTTGTTGAGGGATTACTCCACCGTCGTTCCCTCCATTTCTCTCTCTCTTCCTGCCCTCCCCTCCACCCAACATGGAGCCTTTTCAACTTCTTCAAAGAAGTAGAAAAAAAGTAGACTCTTTATTAATGGCAGAAAACAAACTGGCTGCTGGACTTCCGAGGCAGTCCTCAAATAATAAAGCAGAGTAGGCACTGTGACAAAGAATTCTTGAATGTACTAAATATATAGGGAAGGCTATTTAAATTCACCAGAGGGGCTTAGAGGACAAGCAGCAGAAAGTTTAGAATTCAATTCAAGCCATGCCAGAAAATGAAAATGTACTTAAAAAAGGATTTCCGTAACAAATGTTCAAAGAGATGTCAACTTTTAAGGTTCTTTCTAGAAGAATGAATGAAATTTATGCTCTTTTATTGTGGTGACTTTTTCAATTAGAGATAAAAAATGATTAATTGCATATCAAAGAAAATGAGTCATATTTTAAGAAAATATGTTGTTTCTATAAGATACTTTCTACTGAGAGTCACCTACTACAATGACAAAACAAACAAATATATATAAATATCCACTTTTATATATGTATATGACAAAAAGATAATACATTTTTTGGCAGTTTTCCATATCATAGCAAAAGTATTACTTTGGAAGAAAAATATTTGACTCATATCATTTCCAGTTCATTGCTTCACATTCAACTCTGTGAATTAAAATTTTTAAATGAATAAGGTAATTTGAAAGAGCAAAATAGTAGTAATTGATCAGACTATGTGATTTTCAGTTTTTTTCAGGAGAAAAAAGTGATCCCTAACTTATTTCTTAGTTATTGAGTTAGGAAACTCTCTTTGCTCTCCATTTATGTATAAGACACGTGCATTTGTAAGGAGTGTCCACATTCATAGGATAAATATTTTATCTGGCCTATTGTAGAAACGAAGAACAGCTTGGGAAGTTCATTTAATGGCTGTATGGTCCTGACTTAGGGACAAAATTTCATAAAGGCTTTTTTCTTTATTTATGAATTAACATAGATATTGAAGGAATTCTTGTTATCCTTTGTCATTAGGGATTACAAGTTGCAAAGAGAAGAGAAGTGTAGATTTAGTTGACATCTTTGATACCATTGTGGAAAGGTCTTACTTGAGAATGAAAGACACATGGAATTCACCAGCTCATAAATGTATTTCATTAACTGGAAAGAAGGTATTTCTTAAGTCATTCATTATCCCTCTCTACTCCAAGTGCTTTCTGATCTCTCTGCCTCTCCCATTCCATGCCACTCTCTTTTTCCCTCTTTCTCTCTCTACTGTGTTGACTTCATTCTCAGGTAGGCTCTTGCCATGTGGTGGAAGAGATGATGGCTTCGGGCAGCTGTAGATTTGTGACTCATACTTAGAATTATAGAGGGAAAAAAGGAAAAATCAGATTCTCCTTACCCAAACATCAATTTCAGTGATCAGAAAGGTTCTAATTGCTTGGTTTGGCCACATATCCAATGGTGGATCCATTTCTGTGTCCAAATCAATATTACTCTGATATACCATCCATTATCAAGAGAAAGCAAGAAAACTAACATACTAAGCTGCTGAAGGTCTGACCATGTGAGGGTCTGACCATGGCAGAATGTGAAAGAAATTTGAATCAGGCCAAAACAGGATAGCATAATACTATCTTACAGACTTGATCAGACATTTTTGTATATCAGTTGCCTTGGTAGGTTTGGTAGTACCAATCAACATATACACTACGGATTATTCAGCCAGATGTTCTCTGTTTAGCTTGAAAATAATAAAACATTTGCTGTATCAACCCAGACTATCATGACAATTAATTAGAGTTCAGTGACATTTTTGATGATCATTTACTTTGTTACAAACATCAAAAAGTATGCATTTAATCTTATGTAAGAATTAGAAATTTTATAAATTACCAGAAATTATTAGAAATAGCAGTTTAGTTAATAGGAGATAGTGATTTTCTTCTGTTATCTAATGTGTCTATCCTCAGCCACCATATGATTTGTTTATTCTATTAGAGCAAATTTTATACTTTCACCTTTTACCTTTAATATTAAAGAGATTTATGATGCTGATTCTTAGAAGCACCATGAAGTAATTTCATACACACACAGACACACACACACAAATATACATATATATATATATATATATATATATATATATATATATATATATGGATGTTAAAGTCTTATACATTGTTTTTTCTCATAAATTGACCCTGGCAACTTTTAACATTTTAGTATCAATAACTTCTGTTTATGGATTTTCTCCTAAGAGAAAAAGATTAATTTGCTATGAATAATGATTCTAATGTAAAATATTTGTTTTTATGATGCAAATGAGAAAAGTAATAAATGTAACTTAGATACTTTGAAAATTTATTTTAATATTCACTATTCTTCCTACTAATTAATCATATCACAGAATTATGCTGTAGTTTCTAGTATACTCAAATAGGCTATCATATTTGGGGCATATGCTTCTGGCCCTCCTATGAATATATATTTCTGAAAAGTATAGATTGTCATAAATAATGTTTATAATTTATTTTGTGGCAGGATGAAACCTATACAATGCTTGTTTTTTTTTTCCCCAAAAAGTAAAGCTTCTAGATTGTATATTATCTTTCTCTTATCAAGATGGAGAAAAAAAGACCAAGGTCTTAGATGAGCCTTGCTGATTGGCCAAGGAAAGGAATAACTGTCATCAGCAGCCTTTCCAGACACTGTTCCGTGGCTCCAGACAGTCAGCTGGTACTGTCACAGTTTCTCAGCTATAAATCACAGTCTCCTAATGGCCAAGGCTGACACCTTGACATTTTCAAGAAGAGTAAAAGACCTGATTTGAATGGAAATCAATTTCTTTCCACAAATCTTGGGTTACTACTTCAAGTCTTTTCTGGTGTTTTCTTGAGACATTTGAGGTTTTCATGATTGTCAGAGAATTCTTTGAATTTTGTATTATTACTTTATTTTTGCTATAAAATATGTTCTTATTTTTATCTTCATTCTTAATATAAAAACTAACTTGTAAATTTTACATTGGAAAATATCATTAATAAGTCAGCTTTTACTTAGCTAAGATACATTGAAAGTTTTGAAAATTATAGTAGTACTTATTTTGTTTTGAAAATGATTGTGACATTTTCTGTGATTTAAACATATAAGTTGTAATATACATTTAAGATTAGCCTTTGATTATCTAATAATAATATCAATTATTGAGTGACTGTAAACTTCAATCAAGCAGGTCTCAAACATAAAATTCTCTGATGGTATTTGTAATTTTATATTCCTTCACGGTAAAAGAAAGTTTTAAATATTCTACAGCCAGTGATGAATAACAAACAATTATTAGGTAGTTCCAGACATTAAACTGAATTAGCTCTTAATCATTCAACCCAAGTGAGGTAGAAATAACTCTACACTTTACGAATGTGAAAAGTTCTTTTTAGGAACTTGGCGTTGAGTTTTGTGGAAAAGTTAGTGCATTTGTCAGACAATTGATATCTGGATGCCTATTGAGGTGCAAGCTGAATTTGTAAAGGGCCTAAAATGTTCACAGAGGTTTTCCTGTTGATTGTGCAATCTCACAATGTGGTAGCCTGGGAGCTCTTTAAATATTTGGGCCCAGATACAAGGACTTAAGTGGCAAGATTCATCTATTTCCAAGCAGTGTGGTTTAAGACCTCAACCCAGAGAGTATATCAAAACCACTGACAGAGTTTTATGAAGGCACATCCTTCTTCCTACTCTGTGAATTCTGACTCAGCAGGCCTAGGATAAAAAACATGCAAGTGCATTCTGTAAAAACTCTTAGATCACTGACTAACATCTCAACTGGTTAAGAACTGGGCAGAAAATTCTGAAATGAGAATATATACAGAGTTTCTGGACATGTGTGAAGACTAGTGCAACTGTACAAGAGAAAAAGTAGATCTATAAACCAAGATCACCTAAACTGAATTTTATACATACCTAAACTTGTGTGCTTCCCTGTTCCCATGAAAACTGTATGTGAAATTTTGAATTCATTCTCATTTCTACTTCAAGGGAAACTGCTCCCCTAGTATTCATAGGATTCACCAAATGGACTGCATTTTTTTTTAAAACATGATATCCAGTAGTATGAAAATGAGAAGGTAAATTTGAGAGTATTTATTGGCAGTATTGGGGGCAAAAATAGTGATGAAAAAAAGCAAGTTTTTCTACCTTCTCACATTAGAAATATAAAAACATCACACTCCTTCTATGAACCAGAATCAGCTTCTGTTGGCCTTTTATTTCAGTCAATAAACCTTGATTATAGGCATGGTATAGGTGACTTTCTATAAAAGGAAATTCAGTGTCTTCATCTTTCTCTTTCATGCATACTGACTGAAAATGAACAGTACAGTTGGATTCAGTGGTTATTATTGAAAAAAGCTTGAAAATAGTTCTATAATTCAGACTGGAATGTCCTCCAGAAGCCTACATATTAAAGACATGGTCCCTATTTTGGTGCTAACCCAGCCCCTTCCTTTCTAGTGTACTGGTCTTGAAGTGAGCAGCTTAATTATACCAAGGGTTTCCACCATGATGTGGTGCCTCACCACAGTCCCAAAAGCAACAAAATCAACAGACTTTGAACTGAAACCCACAATCATGAGCCAGAGTAAACCTGT